AAATTTAGACCAACCCTACACCCCTAGAATTCAACCAGGCTACCCCTAAAGCATACCAGCTGATAGCCCTGTGCCTTTGCAACAGGCTGACAACCAGCTAGAAAGCAGCCCCTATCTATGGGCTACTTTTGATATATGGAACATGGTTTGTTTGTGTCCTCTAAGACTCACTATCATACTGAATTTTAATATATCGAAAGTGTCCTCTATTTGAAGAAGCACTGAGCGCAGGGAAACAGCGATAGGCAGCGGTCGAAATTTCAGCAAAGCCACAGTCCAGCACAAACCAAGCTCAACAACAACAACAAAAACAACTTTATTTGTACTCCACATTGAATTTTATATATATATATATATATATATATATAATACTATTACAAATAGAGAGAGTACAGGCTGCCCTTAAGAACCTTTGAGGGCTAAAGAGATTGGGCAGCCTTACTTAAGTAAGTACTTAAGTATGATTTCATTAAGGGTCAGGTACACACGACACACAGCTGCACACACAAAAAAAACTTGTAAATAAAAGAAAAAAATTCAGACAGCCAACAAAAAAACTAAGTGTGCCAGTATTAAGCAATGGAATTTGAATTTGCAATTAATATTTATCAATAAGAAGTGACTTTAGCGTATTCTTAAAACGTTTGAGAGGAAGGAGCTTGGTGTCCTCACTTATAAATATTATTTACCTTTTTGAGAATTTGTTTTTTGCACTGGATGAAAAATGACAAAATTTGACTTTTTAATATTCAGTGAAAGCTTATTTGCAGATACCCAAATATGTACATTTATTTAGCAAGTTCACTGTTAATTTCACTTTCAAGAATGTTAATGTCCTTATGCTTAAAGCATAAATTTGCATCATATGCAAAAAGGTGAAAATCCAGTAGTTCCAAGCAATTGTGAAAGTCATTAATATAAATTAAGAAAAGGAGAGGCCCAAGTACTGATCCTTGAGGTACCCCACAGCGGACAGTTTCTATATCAGAATTTACAGAGCCAAGTGACACCATTTACATTCTGTTTCTCAGATATGAGGTAAAGCAGACAGTCTTTAACAACACCTCTGATACCATAGAATTCAAGCTTTGAAAGTAGAATGTTGTGATTAACAGTATCAAATGCTTTGCTAAAATCTAGGAATATTCCACAAGAGTAATCGCGATCTTCAATAGCTTTTTGCACCTGGTCGATAATACTGAGTACTGCATGATCAGTTGAATGGTGTGAACGGAAACCAAATTGCTTGTTATAGATTAGGTGCCTTTTTTCTAGTCTGCTAACCGATTGAACATGAGTTTTTCTAGCAACTTATTAAATACTGATAAAAGAGAAATAGGCCTATAATTACTAAGGTTTGTCTGAGAGCCCTTCTTAAAGACTGGTATTACTCTAGCCAACTTGAATTTATCTGGGACAATTCCAGTAAGAAAAGATGTATTAAATATTACCTGTAAGGGACCTGCTAATTCAGACTTAAGGATTTTTAGAACTGAAATAGGAATACTAGAAGGCCCCACAGCTTTACCAGCTAGTTTAGCTATTTCTAATTGAATTTCATCTGCAGTGGCTGGGCACAGAAACAAACTATTACATATGGGAGGTGGCATAAACTCATTAGCAGTTTTTGAAAAACTAGGAATGGAACTTGCAAGATTACCACCTATGTTGGCAAAATAATTATTGAATGTATTAGCTATTGCTACGGGATCAGTTATTTCACAATTTTCCAAAACTATTTTCCTGATCGATTGATTTACCTATGGGTTAATTTGAACAATTTGTTTAATTCCTTGCCATATTCATTTGCCATTATTTACGTGAATTGAAAATAAATTATTGTAATAACTTCTTTTACTTAATTAATTTAATTAAATGATTCAATTTGTTCCTGTAAAATTTAAATCTAGCATGGTAGTAGGTAGATTTGGTATTTAAGATTTTCTTAAATAAAGCATTCTTTATTCTAATAGAGATCCTGATTTCAGAGGTTATCCATTGTTTGGATCTACTTTTTAATTCTTGTCAAGATAATTGCTTGATGGGTATATGTGTATCAATAACCTCAGATATTTTATTATAGAAACTATGAAATATACATGTACTACTTGGTTCGTAAACATCTCGAAGTAAGAAGTTCCAGTTTATTGATTGAATGTCTGAGTAACTAGGGCTTGCTTATCAAAGTTTGAATAATCGCGTTGAAAAACCTTGATGCTGGCTGGTAGAGAGGAAAGTTACAATAAGAAAAGTTGGTAGATGGTCGAATAAGTCATAACATAAATTTCCACTGATGGAAAAGTGCTCAAGAGAATTAAAGAAATATTGTCGATGAGAGTTGCTGAGTGATCTGTTATTCTTGTTTGGCTGCAGAATTTGAGGTTGAAAGTAATATGAGCCCAAAGTGTTTAGGAAATTTTCGGTACTAAGATGTGATTCAAATTTGAGGAGATCTAAGTTAAAATCTCCTAACAAAACACAATATTTCTTTTCACGATGAATCTTATCAACTATCATGTTAAGGTGATTTAGGAAGTTATCCAAATTACCATGGTGGTGCCTATAGAAGACCCCACATATGGTGTTGTACCCTGTATCATTTTGAATTTCGATCCATAATGATTCATAATCATGTTGAACTTGGGCTGAGAGATCCGACCTATGAATGTATCCAAGATTATTCTTTATGTAAAAGCCAACACCTCAGGTTTGCATTGGTATAGCTTGGTTGGGACGAGAAGCTGTAACCTCTGATATTAATATTGAGTAAAATTTCCCTGTCATTCTTTAGCTTTGTCTCAGTTACTCCTATTACAGATATAGGAAAGTACAATTCTGATAGCGTATTAACCAGGTTATCAAAATTTGCCTTAAGGTGACTCGACCCAGTTTTTTTGGCGGGGTACCATCCTACCTTGAAGCTCTCTGGTATCCCCACCTTTACTTTTATCGTAAGTCTAACACATAGAATGGATAACATATAGATCAATCTACAATATAACATAAAATTTTTGGCGATCGGAGTAAATGTCACGTGGTTATAATGTCACGCCCCTTTGAGGTCTGAGTCGAAAATCTGCTGTTGCCGGCATTTTTTCGTGAAAATCTCTTGGCTACACATAGTGCGCATTAGTGCCTTGCGCTGAACAGAGTTTCACCAAAATCGCAAAGACCCAATTCGAGAAATTCAGCGGTTTCCAAATTTAGGTCATAATTTATGCGAAAATGATAAGCAAACTTTACACGGATTATATATCTAACAAACTATGAGATTCATCTCTGTATTTTGGGCATCGTTATAACAGATGGGTCCTTGTAAGTCCGCAAAACATTTTAGGGCCTTGTAAATGCGCGCGATTTCGAGCAAAGCAAACATATAGAAATTATAGTTTTCGCAATTTGTTGACGTTTGTCAGGGTTTAAGAGTCCTTCTCACGAAAAAAGCATTTTCTTAAAAATTCGTAGTTTTTTTTCCTTCAAATTCTTTCAGGGCCACAATTGATTAACTAACTACCCGGACTCTGAATTTCATGGTCATTGAAAAACTGTGACATTACCTTCTACAAGCCCAAACTTGAGTAAACATTGAAGCAATGACCACGCTTGGCTGACATCCGAATGCTCACCGAGATATAATAATTTAGTATAAGACAATAGAAGGGATTCCCGTCACGAGAGTTGGTTTAATTATTGGCTTGCATTAAACCTATGAAAAAATGGTATTTTTTTAATAGTAAGTAGATTTAGTGTGTAGTACTTCTTGATTTTTTTGCAAAGGCACAAGAAGCACAAGGATTGATTAAAAATTGTGAGTTAAAACCTCTATGTATCATGCGATGGCCTGATTCACTGTACCAAAATTATAATATCTCGGTGAGCATTCGGAAGTCAGCCAAGCGCGGTCATTGCACGCGTGCTGAACAAGAATGCTGTATCATGACAGACTAGAAACAATAGACAACTCCCAAAGCACAAACTCAGCCAAAACGCTAAAAATCTTCAATGTTTACTCAAGTTTGGGCTTATAGAAGATAATGTCACAGTTTTTCAATGACCATGAAATTCAGAGTCCGGGTAGTTAGTTAATCAATTGTGGCCCTGAAAGAATTTGAAGGAAAAAAAACTACGAATTTTTAAGAAAATGCTTTTTTCGTGAGAAGGACTCTTAAACCCTGACAAACGTCAACAAATAGCGAAAATTATAATTTCTATATGTTTGCTTTGCTCGAAATCGCGCGCATTTACAAGGCTCTAAAGCGTTTTGCTGACTGGTAAGGACCCATCTGTTATAACGATGCCCAAAATACAGAGATGAATCTCATAGTCTCATAATCCGTGTAAAGTTTGCTTATCATTTTCGCATAAATTATGACCTAAATTTGGAAACCGCTGAATTTCTCGAATTGGGTCTTTGCGATTTTGGTGAAACTTTGTTCAGCGCAAGGCACTAATGCGCACTATGTGTAGTCGAGAGATTTTCACGAAAAAATGCCGGCAACAGCAGATTTTCGACTCAGACCTCAAAGGGGCGTGGCATTATAACCACGTGACATTTACTCCGATCGCCAAAAATATAATGTTATATTGTAGATTGATCTATATGTTATCCATTCTATGTGTTAGACTTACGATAAAAGTAAAGGTGAGGAAACCAGAGAGCTTCAAAGTAGGATGGAACCCCCCTCCCCCCCAAAAAAACTGGGTCGAGTCACCTTAAGTTTCTAATATTGCAGTTTAAAAAGGAGAGTGAATTACTAGACAAACACTTTATGATATCCTGATTCCAATGGAAGTCGTGTAATAAAATAATCAAAATTTATGTCAGAGGGCATATGGAGGTCAATATCTAAATTAGTGAGATGACTTATATTGCTAATGGAAGGAGTTACATCTAGCCGAGGAAATAAGGTATGGCTGGATGGATAACTGGAGTTATCATTGGAAAAGACTCCACAGGGACACCTGTCACAATTCAGGAAGGTTTCGTTTGCACTTATCTCTTAAGAAGGAGGAATATCCACAGAAGAATAGACAGGCATTACTGGGGAGTCAACATCCCTTCTAAGGAAAATCTTTCCAGCATTAGTCCACAGGAACTTGTAACTGTGATATTTCCTAAATGTCAAGCAGTCTTTAAATAGTTCCTTGTTCTTCTGTGTTAGACTTTCATTGATAATGTAGATCTTCTTAGCCTCAGAGAATCCAAGATCAGCCGTAGAGACAGTTTTCAGCCTCTTCCTTGCACGATAAAAATTTTCTCTCACCCAACGCCTCACAAACTTGACAATAGTAGCAGGTTCCACCAAGTCTCTTGCACTTGGGATTCGATAGCTAATTGAGATATCGTTTCTTTCCATTGGAACACCAATTTTCTCGCTTAACTGAATTACAATGTCATTAGTGTTAGCCTGCGAAAACATCCGTTTCTCCTCGCTCGTCGCCGCTGGGGACGTTTCGCACAGAGGAACGTCTGCGACTCAGCAGCAGAAATTCCATACTGATGACGCAAATCAATGTTTACATAATAAATCCGGTAGTCATGGGGTTCCAAATACAAATTTGTCTAATTTTACGTGTCTTCTGGTCGATTTTGGTAAATTGTTGTGTTCATCTGCCAACGAGCTCCAGCAAAACTCAAACGCTTCTTCTATAGAAGAGTATATTCCACAAATATTGATTGTTTTGCTCGAGATTCTTCGCGTTTACATTTGACCTTTGTGGCCTTTTGTCTTTTGTCTGTCATTCGTAAACAATAGCTAAAACAATGTAACTACTCCGTCGACCAATCAGCCCTTCTGACCGGATTCCGAACAGATTTTACGTCATCAGTATGGAATTTCTGTCGCTGGGTCGCAGACGTTCCTCCTCGCGAAACGTCCCCAGGGGCGACGAGCGAGGAGAAACGGATGTTTTCGCAGGCTACATTAGTGTCTTCCTCTGAGGGTTCCTCAGGAAGAGGGATTGCCACGAATTTCAGTGCAGTCTCTTCTGGTATACTGTTCTAAGTCATTAAGAGGCATTTTAGCTTGCTTTAAATCATCGGTAATATCTGAGTTCTAAGGCTCGCATTTTCTTCCACAAGGGCGGTTTTGTCCTTCTCAAGTTGCGACAAGGTCACTTGGATGTTATCATATTTAGTATTGAATGAGGAGATGGACTCTAGCACCAGTGTTTAAGCTGCTCACTGCGGTCACTAATTGGGCGCAGTTTTTCATCAAGGATCTTCGCTAGCTTCTTTGATGTAAGGGCCGGCATTTGATATGGCACAACAACAAGAACAAACAAAAAGGCACACAAAATTTGACGAAAAATCAGGAAAAATTCAACAAAATTTGGAGACATCACTCGACACATCTGCTACCCCACCAGAATTTAAGCAGGATACCAGCTGATAGTCCTGTGCCTGTGCAACAAGCTGACGCCCACCTTGACGTAAACCCCCTCAAAACAAATTGCTGGCTCAATGGAGGCCGGCCTGTTAACCTTTGGAGCATATTTCTAAAGTATTTTCACTGATTTCTGTCTGCCAATCCTCCTGTCCAGTCCCTATGCAAAAAGTGTTTATATTGAGAAAAGTTGGCGCAGGTAGGAGTGTGACCCTACCATCACAAAAGGGTCATGTAAAGGTTCACCAATCTAGCAAACAAATGTATGAAACGTTCGCCTAGCCCAGGGTAGAACGGGTAGGCGGGTGACCATTTTACCCGGATTAAATTTTCTTCTTATAAACGAGGTTGCTTACCATTTCCACTCGCAAACCGGTGGGTTCACAATTTGGGTAAAAGGTAAGCAAAATTCAGGACTGGTTAATTTCACCACGGAATCACATTCATCATTTCTACAAATCAGTTGTATTTACTGCAAATTGACCGCAAAAGCATGAAACTGGTATCAAAACTGGCTTTGGAGTAATGGACCACGAATCTCCGTGTAGAACATTCCGACCGCGAAAACAGTACTACCTTTTCAGACTTCCCGTTGCACCAGGAAATTTTCCACTAAAACGACACAAAAGTCGTGTTCCATTTACTCTCCAGCCAGATTTTCCATTATAAAATGCTTTTAAATGTAAGTCAAAAAAGCTAAATGCAGACTCAGCAAATTAACAGACCGTCTGTTAATTTGCAGTGTCCCATTTTGCTGTCTAAAATGTACGAGCATACCTATATGTACATAACAATGAATAATTAATTAAGAATGGCCGAGTATTCCAAAGTTCTATTCAAAATGTCACTTACATTTTAAAGTGCAGGTAATAAATATAAAGCATGCTGTGTAGTTTTGTATCGGGGAAACATAAGCGTCAACCAGAACGAAAGTCGGAATCTTTCTTCATAATTTGGACAGTTCCAGTCCACTTTGAAGATGTTTCTAAATCATTATCATCCGGGACATCAATACCATCAGAACACCTTGCAAAGATATCACAATGTTTTCTGGGCATTGCAACATGGATGAAAATGTCGAATATGCTTCACATTGATTGCTGTTCAGCGATTTTGAAGTTGAAGTTAAAATCAGTCAGGCGGCAGAGGGGACACTGGGACAAAGCATGAAGAACTCGTTCCCAGTTATTCTTGGTTGTGTCCCCAAGAGTTCACCATGACGTCAGCAAACTCTAAATCAAAACATCGAGGCCTTTTGAATTTTTATTTACGCCAGGTTGAAGGTGATTGATATCTGGTTATTGAAAAGCTCCCTCCTTACGATTTTCATTTCAAGAGGTACAAAATGTATTTATGGGCATGTAAGTTTGCTCACAAACAAAAAGAACAAAAAGAAAGTATTTTTATCTTTGTTGATTTCCGGTCGTCATATTAGTGTCCCATGTTGGTACACTTAGGATGGTGTCTCCATACAAAGTTCTATAAAAATGGGTGAAACTTTTTGGAAGATTTAAACTAAAAACCGGTGCACCGCAAAGACCTGAGACTTGGATATGTACCTGTACCATTTCATTTTCTTGGCTTTTTTTCCCTGATGGGTTTCAATATTTTTTTATTCCGTGAAAGTAAAAAAAAATGTTTTCCTTCGGCTGAGAAAAGAAAATGAGTCTCGTTTCCTATTTTTTTTCCTGTACCCTTTACGAGAAATAAGGTACTTCAATATCTGATACATCTTTTGAAATCAAACTTAGATCGATGTAACAAAAAAAACCGTTAAGGCGATGAGAGAGTAGAAAAAGATTTCAGAATGAAAGACTTAGTCATTACAATTTCAAGTTGCTTACCCCGAAACAAAGTCCGGTTTCTGTAGAATTGCAAATTAAATTAACGATAAATTAACTGATTAGCTCCTCTTTATCAATCGGATAAAAATTATACATTTGAAAGAGTTTGCAGAATACCGGTTTGACGATGTCCATGAAATATGATGGAGTTATAAGAAACCTAAGATCTTCAAATTTGTAAATTTTTCTAAGCGTTCAGTCCTGGAAAGATGCTGATCCTTGTCTTTCCGCTCGCTAAATATCCTGAATAAAGAAACAGTATTTGTCGAAACTTATCGGCTAAAGCGCATTTGATCTAGGAAAATGTTTTGATATCGGTTGCTCTGGTTCAAGTTATCAGATCTGAAACCAGTATCTAATGCTGACGTGTGTCTATTTCTTTGTTCAAGGCAATTTGATCTTGAGCCTTTGATTATAAGGCGCACAGCTAACAACAGCTATCTTGTTTTTCAGCTTTACTCCTCTCCTCGTCGAAAACTCGTACTCATTTCACCACCAAACAAAACAGGACTAATCTATTTACGTCTCTAAACCTGGCGTCAACGATGATAACTCTTCGTCAAACATTAGCGCCTAAGAATGATCCGGATTAAGCTCGAAATAGTCAAAATTCCTATACTATCATTAAATATACGAGCTCTACTATACGCGTAAGAGTGGAGGGAAGTTACAGGGAATATTCGAAGTGAAATTTACACAACTTCTACGAATGTCGCTATATAGATGTACTCATAGAGAAAATGTTTTCCACTTTAACTGAAAGAAATAACATTTTAAAACCCAAAGCACTGATCCATATTTTTAACACGTGTCAACTGCGCATTTTCTGCTTTACGTGACCCATTTCTACCACAAGGGCAAAGAATCGAAGTTTATATGTTTGTTACTGATACTTATTATTCATTAGAATTAGGAACTGAAATAATTCAATTTGATGACCAGAGACGGGTCTGTGGTGCTCAAAGACGGAAATTTGTCAAGAATCAAATAAAGCCGAAATTAAGGACAAGTTTCGAAGTTTCAAAATGGCTTCTACTAAAAGACTCCTTCCGCGTGATACTGACAGAAATATAAAAAGTCTTGAAAACTTGCCTGAAAATTAAACTTGGCGATCGATTTTTGAAGCAGATGTCAGTCAATAACAGAAATGTATGAAATAAGGACAAATGAACGCGTTTAAAATTGTTTAAAATTGGTAATAAGACTCCCTCTATTTACGTGAAACTTTTGAGACACTGAAAGGCCGTCTGACGGACTTGTTTTTTGTTAACTAATCAAACATTGATTTCCATGATTTCCATGTTCACAAATATCCATTTTTAAGGGGATTTGCCTTGTCTTAAAAAAAAGCCAAGGCTCACTAATGAATGCTGGGACTTAGTCATGTCACTTACAAAACATGATTCATAAACAGAGTAGATACCAGAAGTAATGACACTAAAACAGCGTAGGTTTATGATATTAAACAATTCAATTTTAAATCTGCGAACAAAAGCTTTTATCAATCATCGCTGTTTAGTAAATTTGACTGAACACAAGAAAGACAAAGAAAAGTGACATTTCTGTTCAGAGCATGACGGGTTCATTTACAAAAGTGTCATTGATGAACAATACGTTACCTTAAAAATAGCCATTTTAAGATATCGAATATTAATCAAGGTAAACTTGACAAAACAAGAACAAATTAAGGAAACTCTACTGAAAATTTTGGATGAATTAAATGATTATTTTCTATGGAATATTGCGGTCAATACCGTCAAAAAAGACGACTGACATCAATTTTAAGGTAAGAACATTTTTTTGGGGGGAAAACTGATACCTTTATCATCATTGCCGTTCTAATTTTATTCAACAAAATAGCGTAAACCGAAATTCAAATTATCATTTTATTTACTTACCATTTGGGGTGGGTGAACTGCAAAATGTTTTATGTTTATGTCGGAATCGGTTAAGTTTTTCTGGTTTGGTCGCTAATACATTAACCAGACCCCCGTTAATATTGTTGCTATATTGAAAAAGCTAAGAGTTCCTATACAGAACTCAGTAATCGTCTGTGAATATAGTTGAGGTTTTGTACTCACCAAATTTAGAAGCATAAAATTAAGAGTAACTTTAGTTACTACGAGTAACGGTTTCAAATTTTACCCTTGGCAGAACACTTCCACACCTGGTGAAATTTTCTAGATATTTCAGTAATTGTCAGATTGAATTTACAGAGCAATTTTCGAACTCATTATTTTTTAGACTACACAATTCCAAAACATAGCTTTCCTGCTAGAAGTTTGAAAATCTCACGCCTAATTTGCGACTTTATGCGCCAAAATTTCGGTCTATGCTTAAGCTTTCGAATTCAATGAAGAGCTCTTCAGTTTAGGGCACAATGTTTCGAAGAAAATACAATGATATTTCTTTGTGTTAATTTACAGCTCTCAAACTTGATTAGCTGTAGAAAAAATAGTAAGGCGTAATATCAAACAAGAGTGAAACACCATATTACAAATCTAACTCCGACAGTACGATACGAAGAACAATGAATACGCAACTGAATGAAGTCATTTCCTAAATCCAAAACTAGAGGCTTTCAGTCGATCATGAATTCAAACGGTAAGCGAGAAATTAACAGTGCTATACGTCCAGTGGACAAATCTTCCGAAGAATGTTTCTGCTAACAGTGTGACAAGAGAACATGTTCTCTTGCATGTTCTCTTGCAGTATGGTTGTTTCAAGCGAACCTGGGATTTCCAGAGGATCGGAGAAAAGTTCCATGAAATGGAGACTTTTTTTTACCATATGCTAAAGAACAGTAAATAGGCGAAAAAGAAATCCCAAATCCAAATCTGATCTAAAGAATTCCCTGCTTTGGAATAATCTCATGTTACATATATTAGTGGCAAGCATATCTACTCTAGCTAGTGGATAATCGTTATCCATTCAACGTTCAATTTTGTTTACTAGATACATGAATGACCATGGACAGTAGAGATTTATACGAGTAACGCTAGATGAAACACTTTGCAAACATCGAGGAGTAATCAGGGCAAGTAGCGAATCACCGCCGCCGTATCTAGTGCGAACGTGAGTCATAAAAGTATAATTTTAATAGGATAATAAACTCTGAACCAACAAAACCAACAGTATGGTAAACGATCAGGCAAACGGTTATAGTGGTGGAAGTGAATGATAAATTCGAAATAGTGAATTTAAAGAAAATTGATATCTACAACTACTGATCATTAACACGACCAATAAAATAATAACAAAAAATTGTGTTCAACACAGCGACACATAAAAGTTCCGCAATCAAAAGCAATTGACGTGTAGAGTAATATGGCGATTTGATACCAAGCTTTTATCATTCATTTTTACAGCTCGACAAGCTTGTTAATTTTTCAAGCTACAAAACCAAAATCTACTTTTTCACAAATATAATGGTTCTTTATACAGGGGAACCCAAGGACGGTTCCTCCTAAATACATTAAAACTGAACACGTTTTGGGCTATTCAGAATACTGCATTCTAAGCAGGGCTATGAAAATTTGTTTATCTGTTCGCTCACGCTAGGGGAACTTGAGCCTTTTTGAAATCACAAGGGCTTCAGTATTGCTTTCCCGAAAATTTAAGAGGCCATTTCACGTGTTACAAAAATGGGAATTTTTCTGATTCCTATCTCCGTGATATTTTTCTATCCGAATAGGTTTCCTGTTTTCAACGAAAGATAGCCTAACCTAGGAAGTGAAATGTGAAAAAGTAAACTTCAGAAAACCGTAGGGAATTTATTAGATAACCTTCGAAAATTGTGCATGAATGCAACGATCACCTAGAAAATTTTAGCCGTCCTAAGGACAGAAAATTCTAGGCAACATTTGCTTCTCCGAACAGATATTTTAAAGAAAGCAGTCGTTGGGTGCCCCTGTTTACATCACACTCTTCTTAAAAGCAAAAACTGACCCCATAAGTGAGTTAGGGATTTTGAAAAAACAGAAACTGTTTGTTTTCTGAGAGGACTTATTTAGTGCGTCTGAAGAAATAAAAAAAGTAAAGCAATTTCTTGACCTCTGATGAGGCAGGAAGCATGAATTGCTGCACTCCACAGTTGGTTAATAATAGAGCGAGCGTGTAAGATATATCACTAAAGTTAACTGGTTACACTGAGATTATTTACTGGTTGGAATTAGAATTGACCAGAATGGACAGTGGCCACTAGGACGGATAAAGAGGATAACAATGTACCACTCTTTCTATTCGACGTCAACTTAGGGAAATAATTTCTATAAGTGATACGATCTCGCGATATCTCACACTGCAACTTTCTTCCAATTGTACAGTTACACGTTGGGTTATACATGAATAATCGCACTGGATTGAAAAAACAAAGATCAACATCAATTTATTTCTGTATTTTTTTTCCTGCCGGTTACAAAGATGTTGTAAGAAAAAAATGTGTACAGTAGTTCCAAAATTATGCAAAGACGCTTAATTCATCGGGCGCATCGATTACTTAGCAGCCTAATACTTCTGCAAGCCAATGAAATTGTTTAATTGAAATTAGAATACATACGTAGGTTGTTTAGTGAGCATGTTTTGACGAGAAACTTATTCAAACAAGGTTCGAAATTCTATGATTCAATCCCTTGTAGAGTGTTGGTATGTACAGTGCTCGAAGCTTTCTTGTTTTTCTCTAGTTTTATTTAAATTATGCTTTTTGATTCAATGTTTCTTTATTTCTTCTTTCTTCCGGTTCTTATAGCTTTCATGAAGACAGATCACCAGATAAAGAATGAAAACATAATCAGGCAAACAAGGTAAATCATATATACGCCACGCGTTCTCTTATCTTCTCCGGCCCATAGTAATTTTGGTTATTTCTAAAACGTATTCCAAGAACACGGTCACTGAGAGAGTAGCAATGACTCTTCAATATATAATGCACAAAACGATTTGAGCGGGTAAAACTGTCAATAAGCAGCATTAGACCATAAGGTTTGGATTAGATCTAGAAACTTGAAGTAACTTATTCGAGCAAGAACGCAAAGAGTAGAAGCTGTTACAAAAACTGAGCAAATTGGATAATTATATAACTTGGTTAAAATCCATTGATAGCCTTATATACTAACAATAATATTTTATAAATAATACGGTATTCAAAAGGTAACCAATGTAAGTCTATTAAGCTGGGTGTTATATGCTCATACTTCTTGGTGGATGTTACGATGCACGCTGCTCTATTCTGAACTAGCTGTAGGCGGTTTAAGGTGAGAACTTTAGACAGTCCATATAGAAGATATAGCATTGCATTACAGTAATCCACTTAGGTATAGTCACGAAAGCAAGAATAATTGCTGCGGTACATTCACTATCCAAATATTATGTTCTTAACTTAATAATGTCAGTTAAATGGAAACGACATATCTTGCATATCTTTTTAATTTAATGTCTTCCATATCAGCACTGGGATCGAGTATCACTCCAAGATTACGAACAGAAGTGGACGGTTGAATCGTTTCACCCCCAACACAAACAAATTACAATGAAGGACTGGGATGATAACGTGAACTGAATAGAAGCAGCAGACCATGAAGAATCATCCAATTGTTGATTTCCTGTTCACATATTTCAATGCTAGACTTTGCTGAGGAGAGAAGATCTGTGCTTTATTTGAATTTTGAGCAATATAGTTTAGAAAATCAAATCCTAATTTAAACCACGACAGCGTTTGGATTATACTAAAGACTCAGTCCTGCAAACTGTCTTCAAAATAACTTTTTTCTCACTGCACAAAAAGGTGATGCGCTGACAGCCATCCTCATAAAGCTACAACACCGCATAAAAAGATTGCCGGGTAGTGTAAGGACAACTGTTAGCTATATTAAGGGATAGATCCTACACGTAATAGAATTATAATAAACATAAAAAAAATGGTGTTGTGGCTGGCAGACTCTTGACATGGAACCGAATAGCATGATCTGCACAGGAACTCAGTGAGTGAAAAACACAAAACACGAATTTCTTCATGGTAAGGCAAAAGAACCAATCAAAAGAACTCAGCGTCCTTTACGCACGAAACGTAATTGAAGCCCTATTTCTTTGAAACTCGTTTAAAAACATGAAAGGTTTTAATAAGTAATTATTGCAAGAGAGATAAATTAACCGCTCGCGATCATCACTGCTATCAGTTTGGCTTTGACAATCCTGAAGCGAAGGTAAGTTAACTTCTAAACACGCTGTAAATAACGCTAAACGACCTAAAATTTGTCATGAAAAGAGCCGTTTCTTTTATTCTAAAAATATAGTCTTGGAGATTCCATCGCATTCAAGCCGTTCATTTTTTTTCGAGGCATATCTTAAATACGGACTGAAACTAGTGTTAACCATATTTATTGGGCTTCCATTTAAAATAATCCAAAATACTTCATATATCATAATCCAACTTTTAGTGCACAATCAAGTTAGAGGACGTTGAAGATGAAATCACAAGTTGAACTGTCCACCATGTTATTTGTACTGATTTTATCGCTCATGGCCGCTTTCTGCTCTGCTAAGGACAAAAAACCACCAGACACCAAGGTAACTGCATTTATACTCATGGCCACTGCAAATTGATGTGATTACTGTTAAATAATGTTAGTACGTTAGGGAAAAAATAGGAATAAATAAATTCAAACACAAACTAAAGGTGGTATGACTACTTGTAAAACCTCAGAAAAAATCGATCAATATTTTGAAAAGAGATAAATTATTTCACGTTTAAAACAATTAAAAGTAACCTCGTTACTAACGTGGAAGAATGTATATCCTCTTTGGTGAAAAAATGAATTTCTTTTATCACAATTAACTATTTCATGAAAGAAATCCAACTTCAAACTTGCAACATCAAGGAACTAGTTACTCATTTTGATTGAAACGTTAAATGACAGATAAAATTGTCAAGAGCTTAAGGCATTTTGTCACTGACTTTTCTCTTTTTGACAGCCTGTTTCATCTTGTCCAACTTGTAATGGCGGACAAACCGGGATGTGGACATACATGACATGCGTCCCAGGAGCCCCTGGGGCACCTGGCCGAGATGGAGCCAAAGGAGACCTGGGCAGCCCGGGAAAAGCTGGGACCCAAGGACCACGTGGTGCTGATGGAAAGAAAGGAGCAAAGGGAGAGCCTGGGATTCAGGGGTCCGCCGGACAAAAAGGACAGCGAGGGGACAAAGGCGACCGTGGAACGCCACGACTGGCTTCACACATGAACTGGAAGGAGTGCACTTGGAAAAAGGACGACCACAAAGATTCAGGATTGATATAGGTAAGGAAGTAATATGCCTGTTTAATAAGAAAAACAATACCGTTGATAAATTTCTCAAAACGAAGAATTCATAAATATAATTGACTTTCATGGTGTCACAGATGACATGATTTTAAATATTTTCTTTCTTTCCTTCTTTCTTGTCTTTTTTGTCGTTGTTCAGAACTGTGATTTTGTGAAGAAATACCCGGACACTTCCCTTCATGTCTACTATGATGGTAATATCGGGATTTACAACTGCGCCGGATGCTGTAGTCGCTGGTATTTCAGCTTTAATGGAGCCGAGTGCAGCTCTCCAGGAACTATTGACGGTGCATTCTACATGCGAACAAGTACAAACCACAATCTTCACCGTCACCGCCACATTGAAGGCCACTGCAATAACATTCAAAAAGGAAAGGTGCGAGTGGGATTCTGGGTTGGAAAGTGCGTTACAGGCCATAAGCTTGCTGACGCCTATACTGGTTGGCATTCAAGGAATCGTATCTTCATTGAGGAAGTACCAAAAGCTCAGCAGTAAGAAGGAGTCATGTGATCATCTGGACTTTGAAACAAAGACGTTAGACTTGTGTTATGATGTAATGAGGTTTCTAAAGCAACTGTTGTTTTCGAGTCTGTTTCAGCTAAAGAATAAAGTCCAAAAAAATCCTCTATTATTTTGTTTCATACTTGCCTCATCCATTTTCCCATTGCGTGTTAACAAAACCGTGCCTTTCGTGGGATTATAAACTGCCTTTTTCTTCAACTCCCCTAATGCGTCCACCCTAAGTATCATCTTTTCTCATACCAGGGGGTGTCTCCAAGGAAATCTGTGGTACAGTCCGCCTGCCAGTATGGCGTCACGTCTCGCGTCAGCGACTTTCAAACTGGCGAGCAAAGTATTCATCGAAGAGACGGATAAAACTTTCGATTTTATCGCGGAAATACTGTTCCGATTTCTTGAATTTGGAGATTTTAAGGTTTCTATTGTCAAAGAAAACTCGACTTAAGTACTTTTTTGAAATGAAATGTCCAGTGGTGTAACGAATTTTAAAGATTCCTTTCTATCGTCAAGCAAATTTTACGGGCAATAATACCGACCGATCACACTTTTGAGGGCCACTTCACAGCAAGATTGAGGAGTTTAGACAAAGCAATACGAGGATGTATTATACTTTACATTGTGCGTATTTTCAGCTCTTTAGCGGTGGTAGAACCCCATATCATTCCTCTCAAAGTTTGCTTAGATATAGCGTTGATAGAGTAAGCTAAATGACAGGTATTTGTGAGAGACTGTGAGCATTGGAACTTGTTGCTTTACCGCATTTTAATACAGTTTTGGGCATACACCTGTAATTCTGTAATTATATCCCGAAAACCAATAAAAGGTTTCGTTAATTATTTTTTTGGGGCAAACCCAGTGGAGATTTTAGGGTAATAATATTGACGATTAAGACGATGTACAAAGGCAAGTTTAACTTTCGCCAATGGGCCACTGCTGGGTGTTGGGTGTAAATTAGTACATCAGTTTGTGGTGTACTGTTTGTTGTTTGTCATGATGTTAACTAAAACTGAAAAAAATTCAGCTATTTCAGAGGAGGGACATGTCTTGACAGTTTTTGGTTTTTCTCTGGTCATAAGCTTGCAAGCAACTCTTGACCACTGCACCTCAGTGACACACATGATTTGAAAATTAATTTTGTCATATCAAAACAATTTTTCTCTGCCATAGTCGTTGTTTAAAGCTGGTGGAGCTGTATTTATCATGAATTCAAATATACATTTCAGGAAAATTAGCTTAACCGCGTATTTCAAAGCTATTTCGCATTATTTCGGGTTCAACGGGCCGACTCGATGTAGATAATTGATCGAACTAGCTTTACTGAATTTGGTGGAGAATTTGGAGATCAACAGAGGCTCACACTCGAAAGGAATAATATGAATTTAGGCCCGTTTAATTAGCAAAAGAATAGATGAAATATAAACATGTGTGATCTATGAATTGAACCTCCTATTCTGGAGACTAAGCTAGACTAAACCTTGCCTATGTTAGAGAAAAAAAAGATTTAAGTTTTGATGACCTTGCCGGTCCCGTGAAATAGATGGCGATCACGGATACAAAATATCAAAACGGTTTACACAAGCAGATTATATATATAGCAACACCAAAGCTCACAAACATACGATCAAATAAGCGATATATAGCGATATTTGCTAGCTTCTTAGCTTTTCCTCGACCTCGCTCGTCCAAATAAATGTCGTATCCATCGCTAATTTGCACAAGCGACCCGAGGCTCTTGCCCGTTACTATGTGGCGTCATACTGGCAGGCGGTGTGGGTCAAGAAACTTAGGTGGAAAACAATAGAGTTACCTTCTTTCCCCCACCCCCCTGTCTCATACTTAATTCATTCCGGGGGAAAACAAAGCATAATTGTTTTTTTGTTCCTGTTAATTTTTGGACAGCACAACAATTTAAATAAAGGTATCCACTTACTGTTAGTGCCGGCTATGAACCATTATTTGAGGGATTTCTTAATATACACGTAATGTCAGATCCCAAGGGAAACACTTAGTTTTGTTTTCCCGAGAGTCCTGATGTTTCCCTCTCTAGACTTCGTCTCGGGAAACATCAGGACTCACGGGAAAACAAAACTAATTGGTTTCCCGAGGGAACGAACATTAAGTGTTTTGTTATATTTCTAGACTTTCACTTCAACAACAACAAATGAATAACCGGAACGAACCAAAACAGTCGACTCGATACTTATTGGCAACACAAATTTAATTCTTAAAACCACTGAATGAATGATTTACAAAGTACTTTCCTTATATTATCTGCATCTTTTTCCTCCACTAGCTGCTGTTTCTCTTCTGGGATGACTTTAAAAATCGTTGGTTTTTAGCTTGAGGCTTCGTGTTGGTGTTCATTTACGAAAAAGAAAACGGGCAGACCGAGTGTTTTTCCCGCCTTCTGTCACACCTCTTTCCACCATGCTTTGATCACGTGCTATAATGTATCCCGAGCGAGGTACATTGCTTAATGTATCACGATCGGGATACATTTGATTTTAGCCAAGGCCACGTGACCAAGAATCTACCAATGGCAGTCCCTGTTTAGTTGATTGAAAGTCTAGGAATATAAGAATGAATGTTGTTCCAAAAGTCCCAAACAATTGTTGCATACACTTCTTGAAATTAATAAGATTCAAAAACCATAAAAAAAAGGTCAACCCACAAAAAGTTGCATGGCTTTTCTCAAACGACACTCAAATGTGACTAAAGCATATTTCAGGTCTGGAAAATGAAGAAAATACTATTATCCTGGATCGACGCAGTTGTGATAGCAACTGAATTAAAACAATTTCAACTTCACTTTATTAACTGCGACGATCATAATTATCTGCATTTAGGTTTTCGTGTGTCCTCGATTCAAATCATCATCTTCATTTATCAGTATCTAAAAAGGTCCATGACTTTCCTGATGAGTTGCTTAATAGCGTTGTCATCTATATACTAAATGCATTATTCGCTACGTTTTGACCTCAACCTTACTATGGCAAAGCAATATTCACTGCATATGTGGGTTTGGGCAGCGCAAACTCTGTATGTGCAGTGTAGATCTGTAACAAGAGCATTGAGAAATAACCTTAAAATACAAAACAACACAACGGAGAAAGAAAATGTTGATCGTACATCGTACATACTCCTATGCCTGAATCATAACTTTCGCTCATTTGTTGATGTTATCTATTTCGTACATTGAAAAGAAAGTGAGCTATATTTAAACTATAGATCGTTGTCATATGACGTCACGGCGGCCATGTTGGTGTACAGAAACAATTCCTGTGGGACTGAACTCTTTTCTTATGTAAAACTTTCTTTTGTTCCAAGAAATAGGCATAGCTACTAGCCACGTGAGCACGATCTATGGAAAGGTAATGTAAGGTATCCATTTATCGTTTAGGCCTGCTGCGAACTATATTTCAGGATTTTCTTGATGCAAGGTGTTCCTAGGGTTCCAAACAATTATGGTTTTCAACACTCCAATGTGACTACAGCATGTTTCAAGTCTGAAAAAATTAATGCTATTATCCTGGCTATATTATCCGATAACTTAATTGAAGGCATGATCATCGCAGTTGTGATAACAACTGAATTAAAGCAATTTCAAATTAACTGCCACAACTGCAACGATCATATTTGCAAGTAGGTTTTTGTATTTCCGCGATCCAATCATCATCTTTATTAGTATCCCCATACGGTCATGATCATACCATGTACTTTCCTAGTGAGTTGCTCAAGAAAGCTACTTAGTAACTGCTCAGTAGCGTTGTCATCTAAATGCATTCTTCGCTACATTTTGAGCTCGCTCCTCAACCTTTTATGGCGAAGCACTATTCATTGTGGAATATGTGGGTTTGGGAAGGCCAAACGCTGTTCGCAAAAACACATAATTATGTCAAACACAAAACAACACAACGGCGAAAGAGAATGTTGATCTTACATCGTACATACTCCTATGCCTGAAGCATAATTTTTGCTCATTTGTTAATTTAATTTTTGATCTATTTTGTACAGTAAAGAGGAAGTGAGCTATATTTAAACCATAGGGCGTTTTCATATGACGTCAAGGCGGCGAAATTTGTGTACCAAAAAAATTAAAAAGGCGGGCTGTGGGACTGAAGTCTTTTCTCTTGTAAAAAAGTTCTTTTGTTCCAAGAAATTTGCATAGCAGCTGACCACGTGAGTGAAAACGATCCAAATGTAAAGCGGATATGAATAACTGGGGCGCTACTTGTTAACTAACTGTTACCTCAACATCATCCCCCCACCCCTTCACCCCCTTACTTCTACGCTGTACAAACACCATTTACAGTCAAGAACGAAACACTCTAGTTGGATGAAACAATTTATTGTCGGTGACGTATCCGGGACGAACAGACCGCTAGCAACACACAACCCTGCGCGAATTAGCCGCGCTTTCTCATAAGGCCAGAAGACACCTTGCCCTTCATTGGTATCGTTCAAGTCACCACCGTAAAAGGTTTTTAGTCAATTAAAAATTCATACTGAAATGCTTGTCTGTATGATCTGTATGATACTTTCTCATTCCTTAGATGCATTTTCAAAAATGATTAGATTTATTAATGCTCCCGTTGCTTTCTAGCGGTAAATTTCCTCTTTTTTCTTTTAAACTCAGTCCATCGTGAACGAGGGGATACTGATAACAATATGTGTCGAGTCAGTCAACTGTTTCGATCGGTTGGTCACTCCACTAAATAAATGTCATGTACCAGTATGATTTTAAAATACTCAATAAGAAAATTTTGCCGTGACACTAATGGAGTGGCGCTTTTTATATGTATATTTTGTTCCTTTGTTTTATATAAAGCTGAAGGTATAGTGAACAAGAAGATATAACAAACAGAATGATATCCAACCGAGTTCTAAACCATTAATTTGGTTCTCGGTTTTGTGCAGTCTGCTGTGCCAATTAATCAGTGCTGATTACGTTATACAAATAACATAAACATAAAACCTTATTTAAACTCGAATTTTAGAGTAGCTAACAAGCTAATATCTTCGAACTGACAATACATAAAAACTATATAGAAA